AGTGGTGGGATTCAAAAAAACAAAACCTAAAAATTTACGGGATTTCGAAGGATGTAAAACATTCTTATAATTAATAACATAACCCAACCTAATCAGTGTGTTGCAAGTTACTTGAACATTTTTTAAGGATAGCTAACTATCACCAAATAGTAAAGTTATCTAAATAAACTATTGAGGGAAAAGCCTTGGCAGGGAGATAAGAAACCACAGATTTCATTAATTCTGTAAAGGCCCACGGGGCGGTGCATAAACCAAAGGGTAACACGTTAAACTGATAACAGAGAGCATCAAAATAAAATCTTAGAAAATTCTTTTGATTTTCAATTATTGGGACTAGAAAGTAAGCTTCTTTCAAGTCCAGAGTGGTCATAAAGGACTTCCTTGTGAAGAGTGTTTCTACTAATTTTCTGTCTTCCAGTTTAAAATGACAAGTGTCAATAAAAGCATTCAGTTTCTTTAAATTTAAAACTAATCAAACCGAACCATCCAATTTTGAAACCAAAAAGATCTGTAAAATAAATTGATTCTTACAAGGTTCGCAAACTGCAATTGCACCTATCTCTAACAGGTGTTTTACCACATTACAAATTGAATCTTTTTCTTGTTGGGACCAAACAGGATCTGTCGTAATCAAGTCCTGTATAACTGGCCTCGCAAATGGAATTTTATATCCATCTAACCAAGGTAGAATCTGTGCATCTTGAGTTCTAGAGTTCCAAATGTCCCGAAACTCGTGCAATCTTTCAACAAAAGTACTTACTATTTTTTCCTGGGGACACAACTCCACCCCCTTTCCTCTCGAACCTTCCTGTATTCCCTCTTTTGAGGGTACAATGACTTTCACCCACTTCAGCCTTGCAACTTCCGGGAACGAAGTGGGACGGTCGAGTTTAAATTTGTATGCTATAAAAGCCTTGTTCCGGATGCACCTGACTTTAACTCGGCCACTAATCTGCAGCTAATCTGATTGATTTGAGCCTATCAGCCAAATCTTCTCCATATAAACAAGAGTGCAAAGAAGCATCAACGAGCACTTCCTTCATACAAGGCTGCATTTCATTTGAGACCAGCGAAAGGCTTAACGCGGCTGAACTTCTATATACTGAACCTAAATGGTGTAGTTTGCTTAAAACAAATATTGCATTACTCAACATTTCGATGAGAAGTAAGTACTACTCATCCTTAACCGGTTTCAAAAGCAAGGTCAAGATCGTCCTACCAACCACCATCAAAGCACCCCTTGTTGCAGTCAGTCTCTCATCCCTTTTCTTTCCACCTTTGTTGATGGCAGATTTCATCTGCACATTCAATTTAGGAGAGTTATTGAGCGGGCAATTCTTCGGCACAGGATATCAACGCAAAAGGTCACTGAGACAATCTTCGGACACACCGGATTTCAAAAAGGTATTAATCTGACTTGCCAAAATGTCATGACACATCAAACTTTGTGTTGGGACTATCGACCCCATAGCTTAAAGGCCATTTTGCTTTAAATCCGTCTCAAGGGGCTCAACAATGACATCAGAATTAATTGAAGGGCCTAAAAAATATACTTACGATGGAGTAAATGCATTCCAACAGCCATAAAAAATTGTTCATTATGTCCCAGTATCCCGGGCGCCTCATCCATAGCCGGACGAGCCAGAAAACTCTATTTTTTCGATGTCGAAAAAATATAAAACCATATGTATGACCGACCCCCTCACAAAAGGATTGCTTCCAATTGTGAAACACTTACATACGACTGCTGTCGTATAAGTGGGAAAGATGGGGGGTCTTTCGAGTTCTGGGGATTCCGATCGGAACCCGGACGATGAAGAAATCCTCTCCCAATTGTAAGAAAGTCTCGTTGATGGGAACCACGCCACTAGCGATTATGTAATCGCGGATGGAAAGATTTAATCTTTCGTCGTAGGTAGGTTCTTTCTTCATCCGATAAGGAATAACGTAAATCTCACTTGTACTTCTCCATTTAACTTCCAAAAACGCTGAAAAAAGCTGAAAACACCGACGCCGAATAAAAATGAACATGTGCCACCAAAGCACAAAAAGAGGAATGAGGTTAAGACCATAGATGGCGAATATACCGTCCATGGTAAGTTATTCCACAGTTTTTTGGCTCTGCTTTAAAGCTGTGGTGCCACCTAGCGACTAGAAGGGGGACTACGTATATTGATTTCATAGAAGAGGTGTAACATATAATTTCCAAAATACAATGAGTCCATCGCATAATAGCAAATATCTTCATAAAAGCATTGAATAATACAGGCTGTCCCAATTTGGATAATTTTGCGGGGTATCTCTGTTATTTTTGGAGACACAAAGTTGCGGTTTTCGCTACAGTGTACTACTTTCTTGTCCAACTCAAAATGCTGTTAACAAAACTTTCATAGCACTTTTAGTTTTTAAGATACAGAGCTAAACTGAAAATAATGCATTTTCAGGTCCCGACGTATCAGAACTTATCGAAAATATGAAAAGTGACTCTTATATAACTTTCGGCGAACTCAATTCCGAATTGGTATACAGGACTACTTTACTTTTTTAAATGGAACACCTTGTATATAAAACACAGCACGACAGCATAACAGAATTTCAAATGATCCTTTTTATCACTATGCAAGGGATTATAAGAATGTGCCAATTTTCATTAGAGAAAATGAGCGTTAATTTGAACATTGCATTTAAAAAATTGTTTCTTTATTTTTTTAAATGTAGGTTTCTTTCTGTTTTGTTACATTATTAATTTTGTGCTACAAAACTTGTTGCAAACTCACTGTTATTATAAAACTTCAAAAGGTATCTAATTCTTCGTTAGCAATATCTAACTTTCAATTGATTCTTATTGTTATTGTATTAAAATAACAATTTATTTTTCGAAACATACAGGGTGTTCTATTTAAAAAAATAAGGATTTTGATCTGGCTCTGTATACTAATTTCGAAGGCGGAATTGAATTCTGCGAGAAACGTTATGCAAGACTTATTTTCGGGAAGTTATCTGATAGTTGAGATACGAGGGGTGCCTGAAGAAAAATGTTAGGTTCAAGAAAAAGTATTATACTGAGATACCCCGCGAAGGTACCCACCCTGACGGGAACAGGTCTAAAAATTATTTTGAAAAGCAATTACAAAATTATTTATTCGCCACACAACACTACTATGCCTTTAATCAGATGCCGGCTGCTCCGATGCTAATATGAATAAAATCAAAATAAATATTCCCAGAATGTTGTCGTCGTCTGGAATAAACCCAGTCGGCCAATATTTATACGGAGTGTTTATGTTCGATATCAACGATCATGGCTTGCATTTATTTATCATGTTAATCTATACATACAGTAGTTGGAAACCTGCCGGTGATCTAAAGATATAAGGAATAATAATTAACAGCTTGTCAACTAATTATGTCGCGGCTAATTTTAGTATATGGTAGATTCTAAGGTCACTGGGTTTGGATCTACGTGTCGAGCTGCAAGAGGCCAAGCTTATCAATTTATTTATTTCTCCACTGGTTAAGTCTCTTTAAAAATTACCAAAAGTTATTATATTATAATATCATATCATCGTAAGTATATAAAATCAACTTCGTTATAATTTAATAACGTTAAGGAAAAAGTGTAATATAAAGCTAAGCTAAAAAAAACTATAGTTATAAAGACGGTCAACGAGCAATATCTCTCACAAATGGTTCTTCTGGTATATTCTGTAGGAAGTTTTTTTTAGAGATTTCGTTATTTAACTTAACACCAAATATAAAAAATATACATATAGTTTACAAGAATCCTATGTCCTAGTATCAAGGTCAAACAACAAATAAACAGCTTGTCTATATTACACATTTTATACACATTGAAGTATACACTGACAAGGGTTTCTGGTATAAGTAAATAAAAAATAAAAATATTGGGTCATGAATTCACGAACTTGAGTTTGATATCTTTAATATTTTTTTAAAATCATTTAATTTTTTTTACAAAAAATCTAATTTTTGCACGAAACAATAAAAATATATTTTAAAGTACCAAAGAAACAAATTAAACTATTTCTAATACGGCATAACTTAAATAAATGGTTTTGAAGTATACTATTTATTAACTGGGTTCTTGCTCTTCTGCCTAAAACAATCCGATTCCTACACTCGCAGTTTCATTCCTAAATCCAAATCAGCCTGATATGCCAGATAGACGGTTCGGTTTCAACAGAATGATGTTCCGCCGCATTTTGCTCGAGAAGGGCGTGAACAATTAAATACGGTATTTCCCGAAAGGTGGATTGGTAGAAGGGCCTGCAATACCTCCAGATTTTACTCCACTCGATTTTTTCCTCTTTGGACATTTAAAACCACAAATATATAAGGAAAAACCACAAAATTTGGGTAATTTTTAATTTATAGTCGGAGAAGAAATTCGCATTATTAATGAAAATATACTGAGTTATGGTTTGGAAGGGTTTTTAAATCTACTAGCAAATTGTCAAGACGTGAACGGTGAGCATTTCCAACATCTAATAAAATATATTTTTTTAAGTGCCCTGTTTCAACCAATTTCACTTTTTATTATTATTTTTTATATTTTGCGTTAAACAAATGAAAAACTTCTTCTTGAGTTCACGTTTTGTCTATATATCCAATAAAAATTAAAATTTCAATTCTTTGAGTCTCATTTAAGGATAAAAATGTAATTGTGGCAGTTTTCGGTTCAAAATTAAATTTCCGTTTTTTTATTCTATTTTACATAAAAGGAGAGGGACGCGTAATGGGTATGCTACACGAATTATGTATGAAATTTGACAGAGAAATCGAAAATAGATTTTAAAAAACGGCGTTCCTCTTAAATAAAGAGGAACTTGGTATCGACATATAGTTTTTGAGCCAGCCTGATGATGATGGGCGAGCATGTTTCTTGAAATCCAATCACTTTTTATATTCCTATCTATATTTTACTTGCTTTATCCCATACTCTCTTAATACCCATAGCTAACTCCTCATTTTTATTGCAGGGTTGCTCTCAGTACTCCCGCTCCAAAATACGGTATGTACATTATTTAAATTATACTCGTTGAAAGTTCACTATAGAACTGCAAGTTTCTGCTGTAAAACAGTTCCGATTTTATAAAAATATTAAGAATGATTCAATCTTGCGTTCTGAAAATTGAAAAACGATTTTAGCGGAAAAATTGAAGTGAATGAATATTTTTGAATACCGGGAATGAGGAATTTTGATTTGATAAATTGAACAAAAAGAAAATTAAAACAAAGGAAGAAATATCGCGAAATGCCAGTAATTAAATTCCACGAATTTTGGTTAATTGGTTGGTTAGACTCTCCGGCTCTTCCTCGAAATTCCCCAACTGTTCTACGCTTCCCGGACTTATTGAAGTCTGCAAATAATCTTAAATTAACGACTTCTCGGTAAAGTCCTTTGAAACATCTCATAAAAACTGTAGTAAGTAGTTCCTGTGGGAATTCAGACCGTGTTTAAAATATTCTTACAAGCTACAGCGAAGTGCACTTTTCGGAAATGAATGCGCTGATCGCGGCGGTGTTCTATCGTATCTTATCAAAGATTAATGTCGCTCCGGGGCGATACTTTCGATACAAATTGCGGACGTCGCCGAAGTGACAGCGGCGCTTTATTGAAATTTTTAAGTGCCACGAGGTTAACATATTTATCCGCGCCACTGAAAATTGAAATATCTTCCGACACGAAACTCCTCCTTGGGGAATAATTTACACCACCCGGCAAAGGACATTTGCATCGGAAATGCGTTTTACCGTAACCGAATGATCAGCTGAGCAATTCCTCCACTGTGATGTATTTGTTATGCTTAATGTGCGAATCGATTTGTGAAGATTTTAATTTCTTCATTAAGGGTATTCAACAGTTCAACCAAATACTTCCCTCTTTTGCGCTAGCATTTTTTGCTAGATCTTTTGCAGTTTGGGTGTAGGTTGTTTCGCTCAATATGCTTGGTAATGTCAACAGAAGACACATTATACTAAAAAACAATCGTCTGTAGCGAACTATGTCTTGATTAACGAGAAAAAACGGTAACTTGACGTTGCTGCACGAAAAGGAGATGGAGAAAGTTTAAAAAACGTAGAAACATGAATCTGTTTTCGATATTACGAAAAGATTTTAAAACAAATAAAGAAAACGACTATAGGTTGTTTGAGCCGTATAATACTCCTCTATTTCATCTAGGTACTCAAATAAGAGGGTCAAAATCTACAATTTCTCTGAGGAATCTGTTCCAACGATATTGCCTGCTTTAGATCCAAAAAAGGACCAGGGCCTGATGGCATACCCCCCCAGATGCACAAATGGTACCAATCCTGCTGCTTATAGGCCTAAGTCATTTTGCTGGGCCACTATTTACACCCATTTATTTTAATGGAAAAAAACGATGTAGATGTAAATTAACATGGATTTCACAAGAAACGTTCGGTTTCAGATCTGTGCCGTGTACCCTGATTTTTCTAAACCTTTTGACAAGGTTCATCACCCTGGTAAAGAAGCTTGAAAACTCCGTTTGTTGCAAAGTTACGTAACTGATAGAACTTGTTTGTGGTTGTGCTTCATGCGAATGCCACGTTTCAGGGATCACACTTGGAACCTCTACTTTATAATATTATTTTTTTGATATCGGCAATTGATTTCAACACTCACTACCAGCTCAATTCGCAGATGACAAAAAAGAACTTCATCCTCAATAGAAAACTTTGGAACTCCAGAATGATCTCGATAGGTTTTACGTCTACTGTAAAAATCACAGACTTTTTTTAAACCTCTTGTTAATATTAACTTAAAATTAAACAATGCAAAACTTAAAACGATTAATCAGGTAAAAAATTATTTAGCACACTGGACCTTCAATTATAATTTGAAGCACATGTTGAAAGTAGTATAAAAACAGGCTTGAGAAATCTTGGTTTTATATTACGCAGCTCTAACCATAATCACAATTCAGTCATTTTAATTTAATAATAGCCTCATCAGATCAATCTTGGAATCCACTGCATGTTATGCAAGTATTTCCATCGGAAAAAACCTTTAATTTTAGATATATTAGAAACAGACACTACTATTCGTATAAAAATCACCTACAATTTTATAAATTGAAACACGTGGAAAATGCTCAGACCTATAAAATGGACAACAATTTTCACCTCCCAATACTAGTCGCTCGTCTTTTAATGCCAGTTCTTATCAAGTGCGCACTAGGCAACCTTTTTTCTACAGACAGATTCAAATCTATCTGCTTCTAACTAAAACGGTCCGTTTATTAGAGTGCTCGTATGTATAACAACTGTTTAAAAAAAACGTATACTAAAGTTTGTAACATCTCTTAACACTGTCCATTAGCTTAGGCTTTTATGCGATATTCTGTAAGTGGACAGCTTCGTCTGCCTGTTGGATAGCGCAGACCTAACGGTATGTAAATCGAAAGGAAATCAGATAATAAGGTTGTAAAACACTAGCACGCTCAACACTTGTGCATAAAATTCGGAGAGAAAAAGAATTTTTTTTTACCTTAAAACTAGGAGGATCCTCAGATATTTGACGTGGACAGTTTCGAAATCAAAGACGAACAAAGTTAACATTACGCTTGAACTTACAAAAGCTGTATTTTATGATAAAAGAGAATAAAATGAAGCAAATCAACCTTATAATATTCCTTAATTTATTAAACGAAATGGAACGAAAAAAGCAAATGCGGTTGGGTTGTGTCGCTGCAGTGCGTTCATAACGTTGGAATTATTAAAATTACTTGCACTTGGAATTGCACAAATTCTATTAGCCCGTTTTCTTTGAACCGTCATCACAGTCAGAATAGTCTTTTATAAAATGAACTTAATATTATTAGACTATGAGCTATTTGAACACTCGATTAGTAAAATTCATCACTACTTAAACAGATTTTTGAATAGCTGTTTGATCTCTTTGAAAAAAACTCACAAAGAAAGCGTTGCCGACAGCGTGTGTCATGCTTATAGTACAGTATAGTATAGATGTAATATCATTTTAAATAGATATAAATCATCATTCATCGTCAATATGATTATAGTAACATGATTTGTTCTTGTGTGTAAATGTGCTTTTAATTTTCATAAATATATGATATTCTTGAGAATTAGAAAATAATATTGTACTCAATAAATATAGTAATTATATTAAAAATAACAATAATTATATACTACGACCATTTGAACTAACCCAAAGCTTGATGCAGCGATGTTTTTACAATGACATAATCCCATTGATTGATGGAGGACTACCCCATTTTGCGCAAATTGCAAGAAATTATCCTACTTTAAACTATCGCCATAAATGGGTTGAAAGAAGAAGTCCGCTTCTTGGTTTACAAAGACCCAATAACGGAACACAATACGTTTTTTTTCTTAAAAGTCATTTTTCTTTTTCGGTATTCGTTTGCAACTGTTAGTGAGCTCATTAAAAGTAATATTTTTAATAATAAATTAATAGTCGCTTATTACTTGGTCTGCATAGCAATTTAAAAATGTAAAACGTAAAAGAATAATTCGATTTTTACTTTGAAAATACCAGAAAATGATGCTTATCAGAAATAAAATTAAATTAGTTTTATCACCCTGTATCTACGTAAGTTTTAACTTTAGGACATCAATTTCTTCGACAATTCTTTTGAGACAATGTTGTTACTGCTAATACTAACCAATACTAAATGTTAATATTGTATCTAACCATAATATGCAACTCCTATTTTAACTAATACATGCAGCTTTCCATAAACTGGCTTACACTTAGTCATCGAAAATTTAGTAAGTAATTAAGTAAGTATTAATAGTCAAATGCCAACAAATTTGTAATATAGATCCATTTAGTAGATATCTATAGTGCAAATTAAAGAAATAATAATAATAAAAAATAAAATATTTGTGATAGGGTACCTTTTTTTAATCACTTCCTATTGTGTTTATGTTTTTGTTTAATATTCTTTTCAAAGCCTTTATAGTTAGTTCAATTTTTCTAAATAAAATTATGTTACCTTGTACCGTTCTCAAATAACTTTTTAAAAAATCAAAATTTTTATGTTTTGCGAGATTTCCAACCAGTAGGATGTATATACACACACAGTATGTGGCCGAAATTGCTGTGCTTTTAAAATATTTTCGCACGTTTGGGGTTTTTTGGCAGTGTTAGTTTAACGGACTCATTATAATTATGCCGCCGTTCTGTGGCTAGCCAGGAAAACCTGCATGCAGGACACATTGCGTTTGTTTATACTGTGCAAATTCGTTTATTCTGCATTTAGAATGCGAAAATGCGCATTGCAAACTTTTGCATGAGATTTCTAAATACACTATACTTTAACAACAGACAAGATTATAATAGGAGAACCATTGAAAACCACTTTTTTAAATTTTGATCTTTTTCAAAATGTCAACAACGTATTGTTATCTGAGGTGCTTTCGTGCGAACAGAACTCCGGCAAAAAATTTTGATAATAACATTTTGGCAACAATTAATGTTATTTTTGTTTTTATATTAGATGTTTATAAAATTTTATAATTATAATTATATTTATAATCATTATGTTGAATGTCCAATAAGTACTAAACTGTTGTATAAGTTATTATTATTACATTGTGTATTACACTTTTCAACTACTGCGATGTCACTTATGTTGCTTTTATCTATGGTGGGTCTAGACGCCGTATTCAGAGAACGTTTAATTTCGGGTTTCCAAAAATGTGACCATATATCTACTGCATACCGTGAAGTTCATGAAACAAAGAAGAGCTCTGCATATCAACATATTCGACTTTACTAAGCGAGCGGCTTATTCCTAGAAGTACCATCCATCCTGTAAAAGAGAAACAAACTAACGATGGCATATCATCAGAGACCCTTCATATTGAGCGGAATTCGTTTCTACAATTCCACACTAACTTAAATTTAAATGCATTTTAAAAATCTACAATGACCATCTATGAGAAATATAATTTTCCCAAAATTTGTTGCTGTGTAAGTGGGACTTGTCTATTTTT